GTCAAACTCTTTTTTTTTTTTTTTAAGGCGGAGTCTCGCTCTGTCACCCAGGCTGGAGTACAGCGGTGCGATCTTGGCTCACTGCAACCTCCACCTCCCGAGTTTATGCCATTCTCCTGCCTCAGCCTCCTGAGTAGCTGGGACTACAGGCGCCCGCCACCATGCCCGGCTAATTTTTTGTATTTTTAGTGGAGACGGGGTTTCACCATGTTAGCCAGGATGGTCTCGATCTCCTGACCTTGTGATCCGTCCACCTTGGCCTCCCAAAGTGCTGGAATTACAGGCATGAGCCACGGCGCCCAGCCAAACTCTTTAGTGTTAAAAAAAAACTTGGTTATATTATTAAGGATTGGTGTTTTCTAATGAAAACACACCTTGCAGAAAGGAGGGTGTTACAGACTAACTGTTTGTGACCCCCTCACATTTCTAGGTGGAAGCCCTCACCCCCAATGTGATGGTGTTGGGAGGTGGGCCTCTGGAAGATTATGAGGTTTAGATGAGGTCTTGAGGGAGGCCCCCATGATGGGATCAGTGTTCTTGAGACAGCAGCTTGCTGTCTTCCCACCAAGTGAGAACACAGCAAGAAGGCAGCTGTCTATGTCTAGAGGCTGTGATGTTGGCCCTCACCAGGAACTGAATCAGTCAGCATCTTGATCTCAGACTTCTCAGCCTCCAGAACTATAAAGATACACATTTCTGTTGTTTCATCCACCCAGTCTACGATATTTTGGTATAGCAGCCCAAGCAGACTAAAACACAGGGGCTCCCTGAAGATAAAATTCTTTTTTTTTTTTTTGAGATGGAGTCTTGCTCTGTCACTCAGGCTGGAGCGCAGTGGCACAATCTTGGCTCACTGCAATCTGTGCCTCCCATGTTCAAGCAATTCTCTCGCCTCAGACTCCCAAGTAGCTGGGAGTACAGGTGTGCGCCCAGCTAATTTTTGTATTTTTAGTAGAGACGGGGTTTCACCATGTTGGCCAGGCTGGTCTCAAACTCCTGACCTCAAGTGATCCACCCGCCTCAGTCTCCCAAAGTGCTGGGATTATGGGTGTGAGCCACCATGCCCAGCCAAAATTCTTTGATATTTAAGGAAAACTTGATTTTTTATAAAAATAGCAAAGAGCCAGGCAGTGTAGCAATAAGGGAGCGAGGCAAATGGCCTGCCTCTAGCATTTGACATCATGCAGCAGGCCACAGCTGGGGACACCAACTCCCTCAAGTAGTGCAGAGATTTCCAGAGAGCTCAGTTATACCTAAAAGTGCTGGTGACGGCACAGTCACAGTTCCTATCACTCTGTCATGTCTTCTGTGAGAAGCCCAGAATGAATGTCACAGATCCTGCCACAGTCATGATCCACTCCAGAGGATTTGAGGGTGACAGTTGTTTCCAAGGCATGGGAGAACCTGTGTATTGGACATCTGTTGCAAAGAGAAAAAGTGACTACACAGGGGTGACCAACTTGTAGAGACTTCCCTGCTCATAGTTTCTAGAGACATATGCTGAGTGGTATTTACTGGTCATTAGCTCAGATACCTCTGAGAGATTCTGCCTAAACTACTATAAATCTCTTATTTGAGCAGCGAGTAGATAGCCATGAAGATGCATGAGAAAAGAAATGCTGGTGTGTGTTTCTGAAAATAAAGATCAGCAAAAGGCCAAAAAGTTCAAAATGTAGCTACATGTCCACCAGAGCATGGCTGACAAATACGCCACACACACCCTTCCTGGGCCCCTGGCAGACATCAGTCATCAGTCATTGCGGATGTCACTGCTGAGGCTGTCTGTGACTGCAGAAATTCTTCCAGATCAAGACTCGAGGGAGCCACTAATCCATCCTTCAGACTTGACTCTCCTACAAAAGTTTTGCCAACCTTGGCCTAGTTTCACCAATTAGTTAGGGACACCGTACTAACTATTTTTAGCTGCATTCTCTCCTCTTCCTCCTGCCACCTTGCCTCAAGTTCCAGCCCTCTTTTCTCAGGGAATCCTTTATACACTTCACTCTTTGTGACCTTCCATGGTCCAAAATAACCTCAAAGATAAACTTGCCCAAGAGGCACTGTCACAGTTAGGGATGACATTAAGTACAGGCATACCTCAGAGACACTGCAGGTTTGATTCCAGACCATCACAACAAAGTGAGTAATATAATAAAGCAGGTCACACACTTTTTTTGGTTTTCCAGTGCATATAAAAATTACGTTTACACTATACCGTAGTCTTTTAAGTGTGCAATAGCATTATGTCTAAAATAGATATGCTTTAGTTTAAAAGTACTCTACTGCTAAAAAATGCTAACAATCTGAGCCTTCAGCGCATCTTAATCTTTTTGCTGGTGGAAGGTCTTGCCTCTTTTGACAGCTGTTGACTGATCAGAGTGGTGGTGCTGAAGGTTGAGGTGACTGTGGCAATTTCTTAAAATAAGACAATAATGGACTTGTTGATGAACTCTTTTACAAAACATTTCTCTGTAGCATGCAATGCTATTTGATAGCATTTTACTTACCCACATTAGAACTTCATTCAAAATTGGGAGTCAATCCTCTCCAATCCTGCCACTGCTTTATCAACTAAGTTGATGTAGCATTCTAAATTTTTTGTTGTAATTCCAACAATGTTTACAGCATGTTCACCAGGAGTAGATTCCATCTCAGGAAACCACTTTCTTTGCTCATGTATAAGAAGCAACTCCTCATTCATTTAAGTTTGGTCATGAAACTGAAGCAATCCAGTCACATCTCCAGGCTCCACTTATAATTCTAGTTATCTTGCTATTTCCACTATATCCGAGGTGACTTCTTCCACTAAAGTCTTGAACTCCTCAAAGTCATCCATGAGGGTTGGAATCAACTTCTTCCAAACTCCTCTTAATGTTGATATTTTGGCCTCCTCCCATGAATCAAAAATGTTCTTAATGGCATCTAGAATGGTGAATCCTTTCTAGAAGATTTTCAATTTATCCAAATCCATCACAGGAATCACTACCTATGGTAGCTATAATTGTACAAAATGTAATTCTTATATAATAATATTTAAAAACCAACATTACTCCTTGATCCATAGATTGCAGAATGGATATTGTGTGAGCAGGCAGGAAAATAACATTAATCTCCCTGTACATCTCCATCAGAGCTTTTGGGTGACTAGGTACATCATCAATGAGCGGTCATGTTTTGCAAGGAATCTTTTTTTTTTCTGAGCTGTAAGTCTCAACAGGGGGCATAAACTATTCACTAATCCATGCTGTAAACGGATGTGCTGTCATCCAGACTTTGTCATTCCATTTCTAGAGCACAGACAGAGTAGATTTAGGATAATTCTTAAGGGTCTTGGGATTTTTGTAATGGTGAGTGAACATTGGCTTTAATTTAAAGTCACCAGCTGCATTAATCCGTAACAAAAGAGTCAGCCTGTCCTTTGAAGGCTGACTTGAAGCCAGGCCTTGAGTTCTCTTTTCTAGCTATAAAAGTTCTAGATGGCATCTTCTTTCAATAGAAGGCTGTTTTATCTACACTGACAATCTGTTGTTTAGTGTAGCCACCTTCATCAGTGATCTTGGGCTAAGTCTTCTGGATAATTTGCTGCAATTTCTACATCAGCATTTGCTACTTTACCTTGCACTTCTATGTCATGGAGGCAACTTCTTTCCTTAAACCTCATGAACCAACCTCTGCTAGCTTCCACCTTTTCTTCTGCAACTTTCTCACTTCTCTCTGTCTTCAAAGAATTGAAGAGAGATAGGGCCTTACTCTGGACAAGGCATTGGCTTAGGGGAATATTGTGACTGGCTTGATTTTCTATCCAGATCACTCAAACTTTCTCTATATCGACAATAAGACTCTTTTGCTTTCTTATCATTCATGTGTTCACTGGAGTAGCACTTTTAATTTCCTTCAAGAACTTTTTCTTTGCATTCACGACTTGGCCAACTGTTTTGTGCAAGAGGCCTTGCTTTCAGCCCATCTTGGCCTCCCACATGCCTCCCACTAAGCTTAATAATTTCTCCCTTTTGATTGACAGTGAGAGATGTGGTGGGGCATGGTGGCTTATGCCTATAATCCCAACATTTGGGGAGGCCAAGGTGGGTGGATCACTTGAGGTCAGGAGTTCGAGACCAGCCTGGCCAACATGGTGAAACCCCGTCTCTACTAAAAATACAAAAATTAGCTGGGTGTGGTGGCACATGCCTATAGTCCCAGCTACTCGGGAGGCTGAGGCAGGAGAATTGCTTGAACCTGAGAGGTGGAGGTTGCAGTGAGCCGAGATTGCACCACTGCACTACATATAGCCTGGGCCTCAGAACAAGACTCCATCTCAAAAAAAAAAAAAGAAAAAGAAAAAGAAAAAAGAAAATTAGATGTGTTCCTCTTCCTTTACTTGAATATTTAAAGGCCATTGTACGATTATTAATTGTCCTAATTTCAATATTGTTGTGTCTCAAGAAATAGGGAGGGCCAAGGTAAGGGAGAGACAGGGGAACAGCCAGTCGGGGGAGCAGTTAGAACACATACATTTATTAAGTTCTCCATTTTATATGACTCCCCAAAACAATAAAACAGTAACATCAAAAATCACTAATTGGCCGAGCGCAGTGGCTCATGCCTGTAATCCCAGTACTTTGGAAGGCTGAGGTGGGTGGATCACTGGAGGTCGGGAGTTTGAGATCAGCCTGACCAACATGGAGAAACCCCCTCTCTACTAAAAATAAAAAACTAGCCGGGCGTGGTGGTGCATGCCTGTAATCTCAGCAACTTGGGAGGCTAAGGCAGGAGAATCGCTTGAGCCCAGGAGGCAGAGGTTGCAGCAAGCTGGGATCACACCATTGCACTCCAGCCTGGGCAACAAGAGCGAAATTCCATCTCAAAAAAAAAAGAAAGAAAAAGAAAAGAAAAAGAAAAAATCACTGATCATAGTTCACCATAACAAATATAATAATGAAAAAGTTTGAATTATTGTAAGAATTACCAAAATGAACACATGCTGTTGGAAAAATGGCACCAATAGACTTGCCCAATGCCAGGTTGCCACAAACCTTCAATTTGTTTAAAAAAAAAAAAAAGGCAGTAGACAGTATCTAGGATGTGCAATAAAGGGAAATGCAATAAAACAAGGTATGCCTGTATATCGAACAACTGGTTCAGCCCAGGTGTTGATCAACAAGAATTGTTCTCTGCCTATAAACAGCCATGAAGACAGCCATGCACACAGAGCGCGTTACCTTGGAGAAGCATGGCAGCCAGCCAGAGAGTTGGCATTTGCAGGCAACATTCGGAAGATATGCTGACTTGTATACTCGATAAAAACAGAACTGTCTGTAAATGCTAAAGGACTTTTGAGTCAGTGCAACTGCTTCGTGTGGATTTATGGACTTCACACTGACAGTGCCCAGCACATGCTTTGTCCTTAAGAAAGGCATGGGTCAGGGTGTCCTCTCTTGGCCCATGAGGACACCTTGGTTCTCACCTCTCCCCGACTTCAACCCTCTGGACTCTACAACTAAGGCTTCTTCAGTTTGGTCCATTTTTTTGTACTAAAACATACCCTCCAAAAAGTGATTTGGAGGCTTGTGCAATTTGTTCTCAGCATGTAGGGTCAACAAGGTCTATTCTTAATCCCTGTCAGTTGGAAAGAAAAACAATAAAGGAAAAGTGTCCAGCCAGCCAGTGATGATTATATATGACTCTTGAATGAAATGTGGGTATGTTAGAACTGTTCCCAATGTGTGTTCCTGGATCTTCTGCCTACTTTCAATCCCCAGGTTTGATTCCAGGACACCCCCATGAGACCTACAGAATGGGAACCTTTAGCTAAAAAGACCAATACTCTACTTTTTAAAATAAGCTTTGCAAACTTGAGGCCTAGGAGCATTTGGTCATTCTGCCCAAAGACTTGGCCTTTCCTTGAACAGATTTCTTAACGATGAAATCTTGAAAATTCAAAACATTAGCTTTCTTAGTCACCTTCATAGTGGAATTTAATCACAGACAAAACAGATATGAGATAAAGAAGTAAATACTGGCCCAAATATCACTGAATACAAGGCTGATTGCTGGTTACGGTCCTGGAGGACAAACGATTCCTCTGCTTCTGTGTCATTCAGTCCAGTCAACATTGATTATTCCTATGATAGAAAATCAAGGATAGATGATATCGCAGAAGAGATAATCGAGGATGTTTCAGGCTGATCTCTGGAATGCACTCAAGGTCACAGTGTGACTCAGGCACTTGGTCTCACTGTGTCCCTGGCTTTGGCTCCTCTTCAGACTCTCACAAACTCAGCAGATAGGAAGGCGTCATGGATGAAAGAGTCCTGTTCAACCCAGATCTATTTACGGTAAGTCCCTGTATCCAAAGTCTTTTAATGTTTTCTCTGTAGGTCTCAGAATTAAAATGCCAGTCTCCAAATGGCCTTCAGTTGATACAAGTATATTCCAGATTGTAATATGAGTTTTGAGGTTTTATTTTGGGAATTAGGCTAGTGAGGTTAAAAACTATGGACTTTGGGCTCAGACAAACTGAGTTCAAATTCAGAATTTGATGGTTAACAACTGAGGACCTTGACCAAGTGGTTTGTCTTCTTTGAGCTTCAGATTTCCCTTATTTTAAATGGCTATAACACTTCCAACCTCATGAATTTCCTAAGAGGACTGAATAAAATAATGTACATGGAAGCACCAAACACAGTTCCTAGCACGCAGTGTACCCTTAGTAAATGTTAGTGCACTTCTAGTTAAGAAGCTGAGTAAACTTCCAACACTTAGCATTATCTCTTCTAGCCAAAGTAAGTTAATCATTGACTGTCAAAACCAGGTCACAGAAGATCTAGGAAACAATAACAGGGTTGTCCTTCAGCTCAGTGTTTTAAAGCAGACTTTGAAATTTTATGACAAGTATGTGTTATGGACATTAAAAAAAACACCAATTCCACACCAAAAAATGGGAAGCACATTATCTCAGAAGAAAGAACAATTGACAATGTGAATATTCACACACTCACACACAGACACACAAACATGTGCACCACATTATTTTTATTTTTCTCATTGGCTACAGATCAGACCAGATTGGACTTGGTCCTGTGTGGAGGCACTGTTCTAGAAGTAGCATCGAATCTGTCTTCTCTGGCTATAGAACACCAGGAGTCAGGGCATCTAGCAACCTTCCATGGGACCCAGCAAGAGAGGCATCATAAACTGCTGGCAAGCCTGCGCCTCCATACTGCCCAGAGGCCAGACATCCCCATGGAACTGGCCTGGCAGCAGTCACAAATTCTAACCACCCTGTGCTAGATTTCTCTGGGCATACGGAGAGCCAGGTACTCTTTCCATTTCACATGTGAAAAAACTGAGACATAAAGAGGTTAAAGGATTTTTCTAATTAACATTGATTCAGTGGTGAAAATAGGACAAGAAAGCATATTTTAAAGCTGGGGCCATTGTTCAAAGAGTTGAGGGCAATCTACCCAACCACCTATCCACTCTGCAGGCAAGACAAACAGAACAAGTAGGGCAACTATAAATCTGCTGGCATCAATCGGCACAACAAAAATAGCACTACTAGTGCCTTTTTTATTCCCAAGAAAATGTGTCATCTATAGCCAATTATTTAAAGAAAAGTTCACGTGTGAGTGACTTTTTTTTTTTTTTTAAGATATAAACATCAAGGCCAGGTGCGGTGGCTCACTCCTGTAATCCCAACACTTTGGGAAGAATGAAATGGAGGAAGAGGTACGTTCAACTACAGAGGAGGAAACTGAGGCCCAGGGGGGAAAAGTGACTTGATTGACAAAAATTGGATTCTGGTCTTTGTTCTGCCAAAGGTTCATTGTGAGATGGGAACAAGTTTCAGCCTTACTGTCTCAATTTAATGTTTAAACCATTGTGCTTCACATTCTAAGGACTGCTGTCACCAACATGCTTGCTCAAATGCAAAGCGAAATGCTTTGAATTCATGTAAAGAAAGATTTGTAGTGAGTCAAAGCCTTCTTGTTGCCGAATAGTTATAGGCCAAGCTACATTTGGGAGTGATGATATTTTCTACTGCTGGTGCCCATCCTTCAGGAGTCAGGTGAGCACTGCAGGTGGAGATGAGAGGCAAGTTTCACCTGCTCAAAAATGTATGTTTCCCCCATCGATATGTGCCAGGACCTGCAATTCCCACCATCTGTCTCATCTTTGGGTTAAGACAGTGCTTTCATTCATTTGTTCATCCATGTATTTAGCCAACAGTTATTAACCCAAGCCCCTGCTGTGTACCAGGCAGGTACCAGGTGAACAGTGGCACAGTGCCTTCATGAAATCTATCATCCACTGAGGGAGATGTTTGTACTTTCTGGTAAGATCTATGACGGAAAAGAGAATAGCAGAGGGCTCAATTGGGGGAAGAGATTTGGAAGCTGTTGGTGAAGGGCAGAAAGGAGTTAATAGAGTGCTGAGTGGAGAAGCTTTCTGGGCAGTGGCAGCAGCATTGGCTAGAGGCCAAGGCTGAGGGCAGTGAAGAGCTTGGTGAATTCCAGGAACTGCCCTTGAGGCTGAAACAAAAAACGTGAGAAGGTAAGTTGTTGTAGGAAATAAATTGGAGACTTTAGCGAGGTTGGTATCTGCAGAAAGTAAATTTTTACCATAAGAATGTTGCCTTGAGTGTGATATATGCAGCCACTGGCTAACTTGGCAGGAATGATCGCCTCAAGTTGACTGGTCTCAGCAGGCAAGTGACAAAGGGTAGATCTGAGGTGGGCAGAAGAAGCAGGGAGGGGACACTGGGAAGAAGCTCCACCCCACCCAGAGGGCCTACGTGTGGAGTGAAGGTGCAGCAAGGAGTGGGAAGCCTGATGGGGTGTGAGCCCCCCACTGACATGGCTGTGTCACTTCCTAGACGGGACTTACTGAGGCTGTCTAAGCAACCACACACTCCATGGGCCTGGTTCTGAAATGGAAGTATAGTCGTGGCATCTTGAAGCTGACCAGGGAGACAGTCTAGTCCAAGTGGCTCATTTTACAGGTTATGACTCTATGACCTAATTCAGGTAAAGTGAAAGCCACAGCTGGTTGTGGTGAGCTTTGAAGGCTGTTCCCCGACTCTCACGCACCACGCCATCTCATCATTGATTGTGAGCATCTCCATGTAGTTGGAATCAGCTCTCAGGGGCAAGTGGGTCATATATGGAGATAGTGGGTGCCCAAGAAACACTTGTCAAAATAATGTGTTTCTCCATATCAGCTTTCTTTAGTTTCTTTTAAAGTGTATGCAGATTGAAGTCTAAACCAGACCACTATAGTCCCATACTCATACGAACTTGTGATTCATCAACATTCTTCCCAGAAATTGCCATTTTACCAGTGTGAAAACAGTATTTTAGATTGAGAATATTTAAGAATATGAAGTACACAAAATGCATCATTACACCCATCAAAGAAATTGACCAGGATCTGAAATAGGTTTCTAAAAAATTAATAAACTATAGGCATTGAGATCTACAGTATGTTTATTTAGGGGGTGGGAGAAAAATTGGAGGTAGGTGAAGGGGCAAATAATGAATTATTTCACTTCTGGGAGAGACTATATTGAAGAAAAATCTAAAATCAGTATTTTTAATGTCATAACAACAGAGATAATAGATAACAAGTGGATAATAGGAATTAGTAAAATTCTGGCTCTGAACATGTCTTTTTAGAAGTATAAAGATCACTAGAATGTATTAACACACAGTGTGTGTGTGCATGCGTGTGTGTGTGTGTATGCGCTCCTGACACATGAGAACGGTGCTGTTTCCATGGCAACGGGGGAAAGTATGTCTTGCTATGAAGCAATCTTCTTAGATTCAGACACACTTATAAAGATCATGCGCTGGAAGCTGTGAGGGATATATTTGATTCTACTATTCTTTGAGACGAGTCAGGCTGTTGTCCCTGCCTCCCCCAGCCATTCTCCTATGCTGGACCTCCAAACTGAGCTTTGGGTACATTTTTTCAATTGTTTCCCCCCATCCAGCCTAATGACAACCTCCATCACTGTACCATCTACTGTATCCCTTGGGGTTTCTCAAACCTGGCAGTAGGTTATGACAAAGAGCCCCTGTTGTCATTGCTTCTGAAGCACTGACTCTGTGTGTGTGTGTGTGTGTGTGTGTGTGTGTGTGTGTGTGTGTGTTGTAGTAGCAGTAGTAGCAGGAGGAGGAGGAGGAGGAGGAGGAAGAGGAGGGAAAGGAAGCATCAGCATAGAGTTCTACAATGTGAGAAATTTGACTTTATATCCAAGGCTTTTATAGTAGTGGTCCTTGGTCTGTAATGTCTGGCTTCCTTTTGAGACAGTTAAAAAATAAGAGTTTTCGTTTTTAGCCCTTTGTTTTTATTTTTGGACTTGAGGTTCACAAACCTTTCCCTTTCTTCTAATCCCATTTTTGGGTGTAGACAAAGTTCGATATAATAGTAAATGTTCCTTTGCCTTAAGTGAGCAAGTTGATTTCTAAGGCTCTGCCCAGACAGGGGTGATTGTGCCTGGGCTTTTTCTCAAAGACATGTAATGTGATTTCTAGCAGTGGCTTCTGATTGAACTTTTGTTATTTTTAATAATTCTCACAAATAATTATAATGTGGTTTACTTATTTCATTCTCTTGCCTCTTAGTGGCTAGAACTTCCAGAAATAGTGATGCTGATTAATAAGAATGCCTCAACTATTAGGCAAAAACCACAATTACTTCTGTACCAACCTAATATTTAATCATATTTTGAAGAGGCTAAGCTTAGGCCTTTATCCATAGTAGTTTTCTCATAGGAAACTTTCATCATATGTTTTCTTAATCAGGAATCTGGTAATGGTTGCACAACTAGCCACCAGGCAAGCAGGAAGGTATGGACCTTCTATGTGATCTCCTAATATTCAGAACTTAATCCAATGCCAGAGTCCACTTTTAAGAGTGAGCTCCATTGAGGAGAATGCTCCCTTAATATAAAACCATCAATTCTGTAGCTGTTTAGAAAGCAAGATCTTCATTCAGCTGTTGAATGAATTAATGATGGTGTGCACCTCAATAAAGAACACTGTCGGGCTGAATTAAATGACTATAAACTGGGTATACAAAGGAGAATTAGACAGTAGCAGAGTGTCGGCACATAGGAGTCAAGCAGTAAATATTGTTGATGCTCATCTTCTGCCCACACCCACTCATGATAAAAGAACAAGTGATGATCCACTGAGTCTTAGCAGCAAAACACTTCCTGTGCTATATAGAGAAGGTAAAATAAAACACCAAGCCAATGACAACTGCCTATGTACAGCTCATCTTCCTTTAGAGAGATGTTAATCAAGTTCATCTAGCCACTTTGTTCTCCACATTAGCATGTAATAGATGAAACCTAGAAGAAAATCCATTTTTCTTAGGATTCTCATAATCACAAAGTGTTTGTAGTCATAGGAATCAGGAATGATCCCCATTATTTTACTTCCGTTTCTCCCATTATTTGTATTTCCCAATGGAGTAAAACAGGGTTCAACTTGGAAAACAAAGAAGCAATGGTTCTTAAAATACTGTTAACTCTGTCTGGACTGTACTCACAGCACAATCACAAGGGCAAAGTCATAAATGATGTGGCTTTGTTAGGCTTGCTTTATTTTTGTGAATACATTGAATTTAATGAAATAAGGAACAACAACTGGAATGTATGTTTTCTAGTTTTCTTATTGTCATGGTTTCTATTGGGTCTAAGTACAGTTCTTTCCTAGCTAGCACTAATTTTCCGTATTCTAAGTCACTATTCATAAAATCCTATGTTCTGTTCCTCTATTATGAAAACAGTTTTATTAACTCTAGGTTTTTTGAAACTCCAGGTTTCAGTTGATTTAATGACTTGGTAGTCTTGTGGCTCTACATTCAAAACATCCACAGAATCTGACCACTTCTTACTACCTTCACCACTGCCCGGCCTGAGCCAGCATTATCTCTTGCCTAGATCACTGAAGTGGCTCTGACCTAGTCTCCCTGCCTCCACCCTTGCTACATTAAAGTTCATCTCAAAATAGCATTCAGAGTGGTTCTTTAAACACAAAAACCAGAACAGGCCATTCCTTTGCTCAGAGCCCTGCCAGGGCGCTCCATTTCACTCAGAGTCTTCACAGTGACATGGGGGCACGCCGTGACTAGGTCCTCACCATGCTGTGACCACATCTCTATTGCTGTCTCTTCCTCACTCACAGTTCTGGCCACGTTACCCTCTTGCTGTTCTTTCAACATGCTGGGCACTGCCTCTTCTCTCTGTCTGTAATGCTCTTCCCTATATGTGGACATAGTTACTTCCCTCATTTCCTTCCATTTTTGTGTTTGAATGCCACCTTCTTAATGAGACCTCTCTTGGCCACTTTATTTAAAAGTGTACCCTGTCTACCCCCACTCCAGCATTCCTGGTCCCCTTTACTATGCTGTAAGTTTTCTTTCTTCCATAGAGTATATCACTTGCTAATATACCATGTGATTTTCTTAAATATATCCTGTTTCTTGTCTGCCTGCTCCAGTAGAACGTAAGTTCCAGGAAAACAGAGAGCTTTGTTCACTGATGTACCCCAAACACAAAACAGAACCTGGCATGTAGTGAGCACTCAGGAAATACTGAAATATTTGTTGAATGAACGAATGCATCACCAGTGTCTAGAGCTATTCCTGGCACACAGTAGGTTCTTAATACTGGTCGAATGTCTCTCCCTGGGGGATGAACAGGACTAAGTGTCAAAGAGACCCAGGCCACATAGCATAGTGATTCAGAAGACCACTCTGCCTCAGCTGGAATGGCTGTGTCTACTGGTATGACCTAGGTTGTTTACTTAACCTCTCTGAACCTCAGTTTTCTCATCTGCAAATTGGGAGTAATGCGTCCCTCCCTTACAAGGTGGTTATGAGAATTAAATGTGGTCATTTGGATAGTAAGTCTGGTAAATGCTCAATAAATTTGAGCTATTATTATTATTATTATTATTATTATTATTATGACATCTTATTCTTTTACCTCTTTTTTTTCAGGGAAATAATTTCCATGTCTGTTCTTACCCATCAGGATTATTGGGAGGAAAAATATACAACACCATAAATGAAAACCATTTTGAAAACCTTATACCACTCTCCGGATGCTGGGGATCAGCTGCACATGTAAGAGGTGCCCCGTGGACACTAATGACTCATTGCTCTGGGAAGTCTACAGGTTGTAGGAAACAGTCTTAAGTTCTGAAAAAGAAAATTACACTGGCCCTAATCAATAGCTAGGATCCCTTCTGAGACGCCCCTTCCCCGTGGCATCATGGAGGCGGGAGGAGGGCCAGGCTATATTTCAAAGCCCCCCTCCTTCTCTTCCCTCTTTTTCCCTAGGCTGCCAGAATCTTAGATTGTAGTGCAAGAACAACCATATTGCTGGAAGTGAAATTTGCAGTCTGCTCTATCAGATGGTTTCTGCGCATGGTCTGTTACTATGTTCAAAGCATTAAACTGCCTGAAAGTGGATTATTTACAGAGCTTCTCTCTTCCCAGAGCTGCTGATAGGTGGCAATTCAGCCTCTTCACCCTAATGCACACTTCCTCACTTTCCACCGAGACTCTTTGTTTGCTGACAGCATCTGGCTATCCTGGGTACTTGCCGCAGCTGGCACAGTTCTCTCCAATCCCTAGAAGAAACAGCCTTCACCTACACACCAGGGATGAAATAAGATTTCAGCTCAAAGCTAGCAACCTTTCTCTGAAATGGTGTCACACCCAGACAGAAAAATAAATGTGCGTTTCTTCTTAGATGATGAGAAGTCAGTCTTTCAGGCAGACTTTTGACCCAGGGAGGATCAAGGTTTGACTGCCTTTGAGTAATCCTTGCAGAAAAAACAGCACCTAATTGGACAAAGGAAGAAAGGAACCAGCTGCTACTGTCATGATTATTTAAACACCCATCCACAGTCAAAAACACTGCATTGTTTCATTACAAGTGAAATTTGATTGCCACTACATTTCCTGCTGGCCTCCCCTCTATGCAAATTGGGGAGAAGAAAGACATTCATAAGGCATCAGAACCCATTTGGCTTCTAAATGTACTGTTTGCATATAGACATCAGCAGCCTGAATAAATCCTAGCAAGGAATGTCAAACAAACAACGCTGGCTATTTTTCTATTGTTCTCCCTGAAAACATCGTTTTTAACACGTTCACAAAGGCAAGCTGGATTCTGTTTTATCAGTGTTTTAGTAAAAGACAAGTGGCATGGTGGTTCAGTTGTGGGTATTGGACATTAACGAAAACCATTCTGGGAGAGTTCAGTTTATAAAAGATTAAAATAACTCATCGACTTGCAAAAAAATTGTTCTAACCCTCTCTGTTGACAGTCAATGTTTGTGCTGAGGGCTGAGTATTATATAATAATTTGTACAGCAGTTTATAGTGCCTAAAACATTTCTGCCTTGGGTCTGTCAGAGGACATGCCCAAGGATGCCATTAGTGAGGCAAGGGCAGTTTCCTTATCCTCATCCTGCAGATGAGAAAGCCAGATCTTAGAAAGATGGGGACTTTTTATTGTCACAGAACATGTCCCACCCCTGTGCATTCACCTTGCAATGCAGATTCCTCCTCATCCTTCGAAACCCAAATACATCTCCCCTTTTCTGTAGTATTTCCTGTTCCCTCCACCCCCGCTGCCACCACCACCACTGCAGAGGAAATTGTTAATTCATTTATCCAGAATCAGTGAAAAACCACTGTGTCATGGGAGGAGACGCAGCAATGTCAAGGTCATCGTGGGTCCCGTGACAAGGTGAAATCTCTCCTCAGGGGAAGCAAAGATGGAGACAGTGCCCTTGTGTAACACAAACCCAACTGGGCTCTCTCTGTGAGCTCAAACTGGGAACCTTAAGATGGAGAAGAGCCAGATGGGGTTCTTCTGCATGGGATCCTGCCTCTGCCACAGCCCCTGTATCTGCTGACAGCATCTCTTCTGGTGCTTCTCCACAATGTGAGACCCTCGAGAACAGGGACCATTTCTCTACCAGGGACCAGTGAAAGCCTAGCACAGGACGGTGACCCGTCATTGCTTCCTGAATGCACCTCTAGCATAGTGATCCTGCCAGGTCACCAGAAAACAAGGCCAGAGCTCACAGGTCTAACTCCTGACTTGGCACAACTTCTTCCCTAGGCTGCCTTATGGTGATAGCAGCAACAGCCCATCTAGAGTGGCTGCTGCCAAGACACTGGCTGTAGTGGGAAGGTGTGGCTGGGTCTCCCACTCCAGGGAGCAGGCAGGAGCCCCACTTCCCCCAGTGCTGCTGCAACTGCACCAGGGTGTCTCTGTGCCTTGGGGGCCCAGGAAGGCCCCCCTGCCCCCAACAGGCTTGGAAGTGCCTGCTCCCATTGCCTGACCTCTCCCTGCTCCCAGTGCCTGCTCTGATCATAGAGCAAGGTTGGGGCCGAGCCTGGGTACTGTCGCATCCCGGCCAGGTGGACGCATGCTCAGGACAGTGCTGACACACCAGCCTCCTGCTCCCTCAGCCCCCTCTGGATTTTGGGTGCCAACGAGCATGGGAGGGAAGCTGAGGCAGGGGATGAGGGCAGTTCAGCACTGGCCTGCAGGCACCCCTTGGGACAAACAGGCTGGACACCAGGAACAGCAGGGGGAGGCAGACAGGTTCCTGGGCAGAAGGGATTGGGTCCCTGGTGAAGCCCCACCTTCAGCCTGGGAAAGTCCTAAAGCCTGGGAGCCAGGCTGCCAGTCCTGCTGACCAGAGGGGGAAGGCAGGGTGCTTTACCCTGGGCCCACCTATGGCTGCCCATTGACCAGTCAGCATGCACTCCCCCACCTCTGAAGACCATAAAAACCCCGGACTCAGCCAGAGCAGAGCAGACTTCTGGATGACCAGCTGCAAAGAGGAGCTAGCCTCTCCAGGGCATCCTCTCCGCTGAGAGCAGCAGACATCCAGACAACCAGCTGCAGAGAGGAGCTAGGGCCTGCTCTCAGCAGACAGAAACTACCCTCTCTGCTGAAAGCTGAACACTCATTGGGACAACTTGCCTGCAGAGAGGAGCCACTCACTCCAAGCCTTTGCTGAGAGCTGCAGAGGTGATGGGATGACCTGCTTGCAGAGAGGAGCTACCCATTACTGGTTTCCTCTCAGCTGTTCTACCACTCAATAAAGCTCCTCTTCAACTTGCTCACTCTCCACTTGTCTGCATATCTCATTCTTCCTGGATGCAGGACAATAACTCGGGCAAAGGCACCACTGGCCACAGAGGTTTCTGGCCAGAAAAGCAACACCCCTAACGATAGTAGCTACACTGTGACACATTCTGCAATACCCTCCTCCCACCACATTTAAAAAAAAAGAGCTGGGGGCAATAAAATTAATAACAGCTAATACACAAAAGGTCTTATTACATGTCAACCCCCACCCTTGGTTACACACACATATCGCCTTAAAAGCCCGCCTGAGCTAGACACTAATGTTCCCTTGTTCTGTGGATGAGAAAACTCACATAAAGATGTTTAGACCACACAGTTAGTATACTGATGGTAATTCAAACCTGTGCCCTTAACCTCACAGAAATTTAACAAATCAGAACAACCCAAAAGCTAAAATTTTCTTATCTAACTATCCAGAGATGCTTTCCTGGCCATAAGTCCCTGCTATGGACTCTATATGAGATGATACAGAGCTACTCAAAGCTGGCCAGGAAACCGTCACCACTCTATGATGGGATAAGAACAGAAATTGAGAGTAATGTTTAAAAACCTTTATGGCAACTTGATATTGCTGCTGTGATCAGTGGACTTATCTTGTTCAACAGGATAGTGACTGTTTGGATGGTATGAACTTGAATGATGAACTGCCAGTAGTCTGGGCTGTGTACTAGTATTAGTCTGCAATAGATTGAAAAATTTCAGAACTTGATTCTCTATCACAGTTTGAGAAACACTAACACTATAGTTCTATTTCAGTTACCTTGGGAGTAGAAGATGGAAAAAGTAGTCGAAAAGAGCTAGGGGAGTTTTGTCTAGTCTCCTTGCTATTGCCTACCTGGGTGACCTCAGACAACTTCCCTTCTGATAATTGTAGAGTGAGGGGCTTACACCAGATTCTAAGTCCCCTCTGTGCTGTGGCACACTGATTTGTTACCAGAGTAAATCATTTCTTAATCTCTGCTTCCTCTGATACTGTTTGGCTTTGTGTCTCTACCCAAATCTCACCTTGAATTGTAATAATCCCCACATGTCAAGGGCAGGATCAGGTGGAGATACTTGAATCATGAGAGGCGGGTTTTCCCATGCCGTTCTCGTGATAGTGATTTATCACGAGATCTGGTGGTTTTATAAGGGGCTTCCCCTGCACTCGGCATTCATTCTCTCTCCTGCTGCCCTTTGAAGAGATACCTTCCGTCATGACTGTAAGTTTCCTGAGGCCTCCCCAACCAACCATGCAGAACTGTGAATCAATTAATCCCCTTTCTTTCTTTATGGCAGCATGAGAATGAACTAATACATCCTCTATATAACAAAATTATTTTCAGCAGTAATCATGTAATAATCAGAAATGAGCACAATCTTCTTGATCTTTACTCTGAAAACAAATAATTTTAAAAGAACAATTTCCTTTTAAAAGATCACTCAAACGTGCTCAAATAAATACCATACCTCACAGTTCATGCTCTGTTAGCCAATTTAAATTTAAATATAATAGAAATAAAATTTCCCAAAGTCACACAGAATTGAAGTAACTCAAATTCCATGTTTTTGTGTTTACAGTCACTAAGTCTGTGTTGTTGATTGAGTCTGCTGTTTGCATGCAGGAATGTGAAGAACTGCTCAAGTTGGAGACAAATTGAAGCCAGTCCTAGTTCAAAACTATTACAAATAGAGGCTGCAGGCATGAGGGGCTGACTATATAACTCGAAGTTCTCCAGTATCTTACTTTAATAGAGAACACAATCTTTATTAAAGGATAAGTAATAAAAATGTGCTGATGTGCAACTTATGGATCTATTATTAAAACTCAACAGTCATTGCAGCAATGTTTAGAACTTAAGTAAACAAAAGTTTTGTGAGGGGGCAATTTTACCAATGACATTGTTTAGAAATGTTGGGAGATGGTGATCATAAAAAGCAGATCAGTGTTTTATTTCACTTAGGTTTTTACAAATTATTTTTAAAAAATTCTACACAGACAATGAACCCTCTTAATTCCTGAATATAGAGAAGGCCCCCCCATGCCCAAACCCACTCTTGGTATGCTGCTGCTTCCAGTTATAATTAGTTGGAATACTTTAGGGATTGAAAAGGACTTGGTTTTAAAGAGTTTCAACAGCAATGCACTTGCTCCTTTGGTTCAATAGGTTTACTTCTGGGCCAAGGGAAAAAAAATCCAATCAATATTAATAATAGCTAACACTTACTGTGTGCATACTTTGTGCTGGGCTCAGTGCCCAGTGCTTTGTGTATATTACTTCTTTCTTTCTTCCAAATGTACCTCTAGGAGATAAGTCCTATTCTTATCTCCAGTTTACAGACAGGGGAACTGAAGCTTAGAGAGGCCAGGTAACATCTCCAAGGTCATACAACTAGTAAGTGGTAGAGGGGAAATCTGGACCAAGTGGCCTGATTTAGGGCCTATGCTCTTCACCTCAAAGTTCTGCTGCCTTCCACTCTGTGTCTACTTGCCACATACTCGTCAAACAGAACAGAGCACACCACAATAGAATAGTGACTCTTTGGGGGCATCTCTTCAGGGCCAAGAACTGTAACTACGCTATCATATTCAATCCTCACAACAGCCCTGCTAGGCAGGCATTTAGTACCTCCCTTTTCTAGTAAGAAAATAACATTCAGCAAGGTTAATTACTTTTAGAATACAGAGTCAGTTAATGATGGAGCCCATATTCAAACCTCTGCTTTTTTCTTTGCTTTTTCTGTTATCTTGCACTTCTTGCCTAAGCCACCCAATGCTTCATTGAACCACAACATGAAAAAATCCTTATGCATAAGAAACAAGATGCTTTCAATCTAGTTGGAGAGCCAGGTGCCCGATTTCCCAGCCTGCCTTGCAGGTAGGGAGCCATAAATCCAGTCAATGAGGTGTTAAGAGGAATTGGCTGGTGGAGATAGGTGGGTTATTGGAAAACCTTTGCCTTCCTGATAAAAGGGACAGCCTATGCTGTCAAGGACCTTCTCCGGCCCTCCATTTTTTGAACACAGATGGCAATGCTGGATCTGCAGTAGCAATCTTGTAACCACAAGGCACAAGCAAAAGGAATCTCAGAGATGGCTGCCGTAATATCACAGAGCTGCTGAGCCAATACAAATAACCACCTACCTCTGTACTTGTAAAAAAAAAAAATCCATATTTATTTAAGAACGCTTAATTGGGTATTCTGTTACTTGCAGCCAAATACAATTCTGATTTGTACAGAAAGAAGACCCAGTTTGAGTAGCCTCACTTTCCGTAGAACTAAGTTAAGCCTTTGATTCCGATGCCTCTTTTAACTAACTTTTCCCTGCCTTCTTAAAGAGACTACCCTGAATGTAATTTTAGACATCTTGGTGCCATAGACATGACACCAAGTATCTGCTATGCTCACAGCCCCTTCTGAGGATAACCATAAGTGGTTCTTTATGAATGGGCCCCCATGCTTTGTGCCTGGTTACTGTGATTCTCTGGCCATCGCTAAGCTGACTTAGATATTCAGCACTTGGCCCAAAGCAGCCATGCGCAGGTCAGCTGGTAGCCATGAGAGCTCTGTCCAGCAAAGGCACTATACATAGATGTTAACTGGTCCGGCTATGAGACAGAAGTTGAGTAATACAAGGAGAATGCAGGCCATAAGGCAAGACAAATCAAGAATAAGCAGAAACCAAGAGGTAAAGAGAAGGAAAGTGAAAATGTTATATGAGGCTGGGCGCAGTGGAGCCACTGTAATCCTAGCGCTTTGGGACACTGAGGTGGGAGGATTGCTTGAGGCCAGGAGTTTGAGATCAGCCTGGTCAACAGAGCAACACCCCATTTCTACAAAAACTAAAATCTATCTATCAATCAATTGATATAAATATATCTGGGCACAAATACTCAGGAGGCTGAGGTGGGAGGATAGCTTGAGACCAGGAGTTTGAGGTTTCAGTGAGCTTGATCCTGCCACTGTACTCCAGTCTGGGCTACAGAGCAAGACCCCATCTAAAAAAAGAAAAAAGTTATATGGTAACAGAAGTAGAATCTTAACTATGGCACAGCCTCTAGAGTAGAAGCCACCAATGTTACTGAGGAAACAATAAGATGAGCCCCTTATTCTAGATCTTCTGGAGGTGATCTAAAGTCCTTTAGGGCCACTAACCATGCTGTAGCTGGTAGCTGGTGAAGCCATGTCATCAAGCTTACCTCCCAAAATACACTTACAGTAGCCCCATTAGATCACATTAGTCCTGGAATTCTGAAAGAGCATAACCAACATGTTGGCAACCCAAGTTCATCCTTCTCATCACCAGTTGTCATGATGTGCTGCACATATGCCTGTGAAGGCCCAAGATTATAGGCAGGGTGCCTGTGGGCCATATTTGGCCCAAATATATGTCTTGTCTAGCCTATATGGTATCTTAAGAAAATGTGAGGCACAGTTGGGCACCTTTCGATGGAGTGTGTGCTCTTCAATTTGTCATGGTTCCCACCTCTCTCCATTCCTAATACCTGCCCTACTTTGCACATTTACATTATCCATTTGGTACCTGCAGGTACTTGAGCTGCTGCCCCCGGCAGATAATTGCAGAGGTGGTTACACATGATACCGAGGTGTTCCACATGGCAGGAGAGAAAGCTGCTGCTTCCCCAGCCTTCTTCATTCCTAAGGGCTATACCATTGAAAGAAAGAGAAAGAGAGAGACAAGAGAGAGACAGAGAGCGAGCTTATTGCCACCTCTACAGACCATAGAGCTGGTACCTTCTCTCACTTCATCATCAACTCGCTTCTCTCCTGCAGAGTGTCTGCTGCTCATAACTCCTGTCCCCACCTCTAATTACATCCAGTACCACTTACCACCACAGCTTTTTTCTCTCCAGGCCTTCTATTGCTTTTTATTATGCCTGTCTTGCTGGGTGTTCATGTGGTTGACCTTTGTGGTCACAGCCAATTACCGGGTGCTTTTCCTTCTACCCAACAAACCATGAATCTCAGCACAATG